CTGTCCTCCTCTTCCAGGGTGCTCAGGGGGCCACACAGGACTAATGGAGCAGAAGCCAGCTCAGTCTGAGTCACCACACATGTCCCCCACCCCCTGCAGGCAGCTCTGAGCCAGAACCATCTTTCCAAGGCCAACTGTTACAACAAAAGCTTTATGGGTCCCAGAAACATGCTAGGTGCTGTAGTATGAGGAAACCAGATTCTCCAATCTGTAGCGTTGGGGGGGTGGGGAGGACAAGTTCAGCCAGGTAGGAATGAAAAATGCCTCAATGAATAAGGCTGAGGTAGGCAGGTCATGCAGCTGTGCGGCCTTTACTGTCGGGGGAGGGGGGCTGGAATAACCAGGTCAACTTACTGCCACTGTGTTGGGACCAACTCAAAGCTGACCCTTCAGTGGGTTTTCAGAAGCTGTAAAATCGCTTCCGATTTTACAGAATTCAGAATGAGAGGAAAACTGTTTATCTTTCTCTTGTAGAGCAGTTGGTGGATTCGAACTCTCTGCCTTTAGGCTGGAAGCACAAGTCCCTAACCACAAGGCATACTAACAAACTCCCAAACGCAATCTGCAACTGAGTGAGGTTTAAAGATGATGTACCATGTACAATGTTCCATTTCTGAAACTCCAGAAAGCACATTCCTATCTACAGACCCAACAAAGAAGTCATTGTCTAGAAAAGTGTAACAGGGAAAAGAGACAAAATAAAACCGCAAACTCCCTGGCACAGAATCAACTCCAAAGGACAGATCAGCCATCAGGTCTCCAAAGCTGTAAATCTTAACGGGAGGGGACTGACTGCCCATCTTTCTCCTGAGGAGACTCAGGCAGATAGGAACCACTCCAGACGGCAGCCTTGATTAGCAGGGCAACATGTTATCTATGAATTACACCACCAGAGCTCCAACCAAAACAGAGTTCTTAAAATTTGTTATCAGACCCAGAATCAGAAGTCACTGGAAATTCTTGTCAGTTTATGTTACAGACAGAAGTGCCATCATTACTCTCTGTGGCTGTCATCTTTCTTGTCACCACTTGTCAGGCTTCCTGGAGCCCTCTCAGAAGATGTCATAAGTCCGTCCCTCTCCCCTGTGTCTTGAGGACACAAAAGCAGGAAAGTAGACAACTGTCCCCAAACATTCCAGTGTTTCATGGTGTAATCTGCATTGTTCTCTCAAAAAAAGACATCATTTCATGTCATTTGTAGCACAATCTGACATTGTCCGTTTAACCAGTTGTGAAAGGCAATGACGAGTCCAAGTGATGTGGAATCCACTGCCTTTAGTGTTATGAACTGCATAACTAAAAAGTTTCACCAAGTCTCACAAAGACTGTTATCATGTTAACACAACTCTTCACGCACTCATACACAGTGTTTGCATTTTGCTTTTTGTTCTAAGAATTCTTGTTCACATTTTCCCAGCGTGGGCCCTAGGAAGGGAGATTAGGGAAATAAATCAATTAAGTGAAACACACAGACAAAGAGAAAGGCTTACAGTTCTGTGAATATGAGAAAAACTGAAGAAAAAAATTATTCTCTCAAAAAAAAAAGTGAAATAAAATTATTCCAAGATCCTTTCTAGCCTTCATTAGCTCTGCAATTGTTTTACCAAAAAAAAAAAAAAAAAACACAGCTAAAATATGTCAGTATCTTGTGAGACCAAAAGTTTCACAATACCAAGTGTGTATTTCACTAGAAAACAATGTATGTTTTCAGTATAAATGTTCATTAGAAATAATCCTCAATTCTTTGGAAAAAGCCATATAAATGTTTATTTTCTTTTCATCAATGTTCTTTACCAGTTTCTGAGTCTCATTTTTTTTCCGATTTCCTTCCACAGAACAAAAACGTAGAACACCAGAATGGTTCTAAAATTAAACTAAAAGACATTCAGTTTTAAAGAATTTTTCTTTAGCACTATTTTGATATTATTTTCTGTTAAGTTGGGTTTATTTGTTTCATTGTTTTCTGATTTATTACTCTTGATTTTCAGAAAGGGACAGCGACTGAGTATTCTAGGGAACATTCCAGGTTTCAAAGTAATTGGAACATGCGTATATGTATTATGAGTTAACACACAGACACATTACACTCATCCATCTAAAGTATAAACTTCTTTGTCTTGTTTTGTTCTTTAAAACACAGGTTTCCCATAATGCAATCTGCTTCTATTTCCTTCATGGAGTCTGGAAACGATACGCAGTAAACTGTCATCACATATGGGAAGACTATTAAATAGGTCTGATCAATGTTACCACGAGCCTCAGCAGAGCAGTAAGTAACATGTGAGACTGCAAACCATGAGGATGATGGTTCAAATCCATCAGCTGCTCAGTGGGAGAAATACAGTCTCTTCCTGTAAAGGCTTATGGACTTCGAAGCCCAACAAAGACTGACAACAGTAAAGAAAGATGGGATTACCAGATTGAAGAAAATGAAAACATGTCCACAAGGACCAAAATAAAACCTGAAGAGAATCCCACCTGAATTCAGAGACTGTTTCCAAAGAGATTTCACTTACAGAACACTAATAAGCACTGAACACCAAAGAGTTTTGGGGGGGGGGGGCATCATATGTGAAGAAAGCACAAGTTCATTAAAAGGGCAGGAAAGAAAAAAGTATTAAAGTGGTTGTTGAAAGATTCTGAAATTTGCTCTTAAACATACAGTAAGTAAAGCAAATGGCATTTAACAACAGCAGCAGCATAGAGAGAGATCAGTCAACCTAATAGACAGAAGTGATGCTACTAAGCCAAAGGTGGGTGACTTTAATCCATAGCCCTCAGGCTTGTTTTTAATTGTTTTGGCCAAACATTCTTCTAGGTCATGTAACCCAGGTACACCCACTTGCTGAACAGAGGTAATTCGTGGTTGCTGTGAAGCTGAACATTGTGACACTGATGTGTCAAATGTGGTAATGGTTACCCATAGTGGACAGTGTTTGGTGGAGCTTTCCGATTAAAACAAGCTTGGAAGTAGAAGTGGAATCTTCTGAAATAGCTTGCCTCCGGAAATCTTATAAACCTGGAGAAAGGATAAAAGTTACACAAGTGCTCAGGTCTTTCATTCATAGGGTCGCTATGAGTTGCCTATGACTCCATGGCACTTAATAACAACACCAACAGTTAAAGCAAATGGAAGAAATAAAAAAAAAAAAAATGATGAAATCAAGCAATGCAACAAAATGGGCAAAATCTTCTGAGAAAAATAAAATCAATCTCTTCAAAGTGGTAAAAAGCAAAGATGTCACTGCAAGGTCTAAAGTAATTTCAAGCTCTACATACTCATGAGAAATCTAGACTAAAGAAGACAAAAGAAGATTTTTGATATCTTTGAATTGTTGTTGTTGTGTTGATCATCATCAAGTATGACTGATAGTGACCCTATGAACAAAAGACCCAAAACCTGTTCTATAACTTTTGTCATTTCTCTAAGTTCATAGAGTTTCCAGAGTCATGTTCTTTGAATTAGAGAATACTATTAAATAAATACCATAAGTGGTCCAAAGAATGAACAATCTGTACTAGAAAAAGTAATATCTGAATGTTCCTTAACAAAAATGATTAAGACTTGATCTCACATATGTTGGATATGTTATCAGTAGGGACCAATCCACAGAGAAGGACATTTTGCTTGGGAGAGTCAGGAAAAAAGAGGAAGACCCTTACTGAGATGGTCTAACACAGTGGCTACAACAAGGTGCTAACCCAGCAACAATTTTAAGAATGGGCAGGACCAGCCAGTCGTTGGTTTTGTTGTACAAAGCATCACTGTGAGTCAGAACTTACTGATCTAAGCAAAAACAAATTCTACTCAAGTACTATTGAATCTGAAACATGCTTAACATGTAGATAAAGAAAATATCTGGTCAACCATAAGTCTCATCTGGCTCCAAACTACGTCTCACCTAAAAATAATCCACAGTCAACATGCCAAAATTACTATTTCCACATTCATGGAAAAAACAGTAATTAGAAATGAGGGACAGTTCCTGGCAGTAAGGAACCTGATACTCTCCCTCTCCACAAGGAGTAAACAGAACAAAAAGGATTTTAAAACAATGCAGCTGGAATCTTAGGGGGAAAATGAGTATACCTAACTGAATAAACTGGAATGCATAATATAGAAAGAGGTTATTGAGCGTGTTGTTGTTAAGTGCCGTCCAGTCGTAGGCAACTCATAGCAACCCTATGAATGAAAGTACTCAACACTGCGTGACTTTCATCCTTTCTCCAGGTTCACAGGGTTTCCGGAGGCAAGCTCTTTACAGAAGTGGATGTCACTCCTGCTAAGAATAATGTAAGAAGAAATTCTCTAAAGTCTGTGTTCATTTAGATCATTCATTTTACAACAATCAGAGGAACACAGAAGAATAGGAAAGATGAATTCAGAAATTCACAAATCAGTTCACCCTTTCTAAAGAAAAAGATAGATGTGGGCAAATAGTATCCTCTAATTTTCCCCAAAACTATGAAAATGTAAAAAAATATGAATATGTGTTCATATTGAGTTGTTTTATTCTGGATGCTTTTTGCAAGCTGTGCAGCCTCTTTGCACACTAGTTTCCGATAAGCCATATGGGGGTTATATGTGTCTGTTATTTATGTAGGTACATTATATATGAAAAATAAATTATTTACATGTGGATTTTCATTGTAGAGTCTAGAGCGCCCTGTGGCACAGTCCACAAGGGAGCCTATCTGGTAGCATAAATCCATCAGTGGCTACTCAAGAGAAAGGGAGGCAATTTCCTCCCTTGGGATTTGATCTACAGTCTCCAATAACCTTCTGGGGGGTTAGCTACGAGATAGTTCACATGCTATGGTAATGAGGGCAATGAGGTTTTGACTTCAAAAACACGTTTGCTCTGTATTTTAAAATCACCAAAAAATTATTTCGCATACATAACTTTGATGTATACTGCAGATCACATGTGACAATTAACAGACATTATCATTATCATCATATCTTCAAATCGTTCCGATTTTCTCTAACAAACACTTACTTCTGACGAGTCCACTCTCTGGATGATTCCCCCAAATGGACTCTTCATGCATCTCTCCATGTGTAAAGCAGCTTTTTGTGGTGTGACTTTTCTCTTTCTCGCCGTTTTCTTTATCACATTGTTCTGGGGGAGAGGGATAAGAGATAATGCATATATTTATTTACTGTCATTAAATGTATATTCTTTTCTTAATTCTTTAATTTAGATTTTTCTAAATGCTCATGAATCTACAATAACTTAAAGAAATGGGAGCAGTATGATGACTGTTACTGGTTGTTACATACTTTATTGCTTGAGTTAGTGCCCACATCACTGTCAAATCTGATGTACGTAATCAATTTAGAGATTGACTGAGCACTTACTATGTGCCAAAGAGCCTGGTGGCATGATGTCAGACTGCTTTTCAAATCCACCAGCTGCTCCACAGGTAAAAGATGGGGCTATCTCCTCCTGTAAAGGCTTACAGCCTCAAAAACAGAATGGAGGGTCAATATGAATTGACATAACAGCTCTAGGTTTGGGTGTGAGTTCCTTTTCTACAGGCATTGAAGAAACTGATATATACTGACAATAAAAACAATCTGTATATGTCTTAATCGAAAGATGTGCAAAAAGTTTCATCAAAAATGCAAGTAACTGGCTCCACAGATGTAAGCCATGAATATGGAAAACACAAAGGGAACAGAAACTCCAGTGAGTAGTGGAGATGAAAGTCAGACTACAGGTAAATTAGGAGACACTGAAGAAGTACAGAAAACAAGTACAATGAATGTCTTCTCCACACAATTCTGGGAAAGAGTGCTCAGAGAGGAACGGTTCTCAGGGGAAATCCAGAACATAAGGAAATGTAAAGTCTCATTTTAAAGGAAACACATCAAGTTGTACAAAATGCAAACTACACGTCTTGGGCTTGATTCTGTAAACGGGCTCAAGTCTTGGCATTGATTGAAGAGCCAAGAATCTGTGCTGGTAATGGGGGTTATATAGCCATTCACCTGACCTAGAATTCTTGACTTACATAGATCAAATAAATAGCAGATTTCTCATCTATTTCACTCCTAGAGAAAAAAAGACTGTAATCAATGCCATAAAGCTGTATTATTTTTATTACTGCTTAGAACCCACTATCCACTAGAGCAGTCATGCCCACGTTGTAACTGCTGATGAAGCTGTCTTTTGTCCCCTACCACCAGCGATTTCAATCAACCCCACTGCAGTGGTCGTCGTCATTGTTGATTATCTTCGAATCAAGCATGACTCATATAATGACGCATAGTGACCCTACGGGCTATTCTTACCTTCAAATCTGATGCACATAATCCAACAATCACAACAAGCTTCAACAACTAGGGTTCCCTTCACAGAATTCCTCATGATTATCATAAAAGGTATGTTCACTAAGTACTGTATGTGTACGTCTGTGGATCTAAACTGATAAACCCATTCAAACATGGCACTTTCCCTAAGCTTTTGAATACCTTCTTCCACAGTACACTCTAGTAGGACTGGTACTACAACTTGATATAGTGTAAGCCAATGAATAAGCCATGATGCAGTGAACCAACCACATAAATTATTAGATGTTTTCTACATTCTCATTTTCAAACAATGAATGAAGACTCTACACTTACTGAGTTTATCAATAAACTGATTCAATGATGTGTCTGTAAGAAGAATGTAGGTGGCATGAGGAAGGCCACATCTGACCTTGATTAACTGCACAAAAGATTTCAGTCCCATCAGCAACATCCACGATACCAAACGCACAAAGCCAGACACGGCCTCCACTCTCCAACACCTACTTTAAGTAACTGAAATACCAATAGTATCTCTCTACTTCTGGGTCTGAAATCTGCACACAAATGTCACAGAACCATGTTCGAAGTTATGGGGTTTACGAGGGAACTTAACAGGTTAAAATTCAGTGGGCAACCAGAAACAATTCCTCAGTCAAGAGACCATCTCAAGGTAACAGGCCCTCTGATCTTTAGCCTCACAGTGTTAGGTCAGTGCTACAAAGTTCCTTTGCTGTTACTGTTGTTGTGTCTGTTGAGTCAGAACTGACTTATTACTGGCCCTCCATGAGAGAAGACTGCCCATCTTTGTCCTGCAGAGCTGCTGGTGCATCTGAACTGCAGACCTTTAAGTTGGCAGTGCAAGTCCTTACCGCTAAGCCACCAAAGCTCCCCTGAAAGTTTCCTCAGTTCTGCAAATTATGGCATCTCCCCTCAGTTCTCCATAAAGTTCTGGCAAAGGCCCCCTGGCTCCATGGGGCTGCCATGTCAACTGTCGAATGCCCATCTCTGGTCTTCACTGAAGCTGTTGCAGCTTGCGTGTCTGTCTCGGTCTAACGGGGCAGGAATTCTAGCCCTGGAAGACACACCTGAACTCGGTGCTTCCTCACTCTTGCTAGCAGGGAAGCTAGCTTTCCCTTCCACCTCTGCAGCTAAACCCGTTTAGTTTAAACTTAGGGGGATGGGGAAACTGACCAATTCCACAATTATTAGTTTAGACACACCCCTATTTCAGGTTCCCACCAAGTCACGTGCTGACAGCTGGAGAAGCGCTTCTGAACAATGAGCCGTGACACTGCATACATCCTTTACCGCCACCGCCTCACACTGTTCAGCTTTCCTTCTGCACATATCAGAGAAAATCAAGGAGTTCTTCCTGGAGTGTAGCTACCTCCTCCTGACTTACACTGTGTACTTCACCCTTTGGGGCTTCCTGGGACTTAAGTCTAGTTAATATATCTAGTTCTTAAACAAAAAATAAAAATAAGTGGTGAGGATAGATCCTTTGAATGTTCTGTAAGGGATCCATCCTGGTCACTGCCCTTGGCAATGCCGGAGGCACTAGCTCAACATCTCGTCAGGTATTCAACTCAAGTCTCTGCCAAAGTGGTGCCTACACACAGTGACTCTCTATCAGGTTTCCAAAGCATCGGGAGAAGACTGGACAGACGAGGTTTCCCTCACAATGCCCCTGGTGGATTTGAACCACTGACGATATGAAGCATTTGAGTTTCAGTGAACTTACTATGAGCCATGTCACAAGACCTCTCCTTCAAGAATGTCTGAAATAACCTCATCAGATCTGGGTAAGATGACTGGTCTGTAGGCTGGAGTGATTCAATGGAATTGAGGGCTTCAATGTCCCCAGCTTTCTGACTTCTCGGATATCCCTAATCCAATCAATGAATACCCTCACTTCAACTTCAGACACATTTGAGGTTGATAATTTAATTGTAGTTCAGCCACTCTTAGAGTAAGACTTCGGTTTTTGGCAATATCCATTCAGTCATTATAAAATGTAAAAATTTCAGGGCCAAATGGCAAATTCCAACTTTCATGTAGCCTTTAAGTGGTGACTCTGAAGCCCAGGGCACATTCCTTCATCACTCTGTCCACTGGAAGTTGCATCAACCAGCTAACTTCCTTACACTGCTCATTCTTATAAAACTAGAAAAAGAGCAACTGTGTAAACACCCTGAGGCTTGCTTCTCACAAACAACTTATCCTTGGGCAGTTAGACTAAACATATTTCTATTAACCACCTCATGCCAGTGCCTTCTCCCCCAGCCCCCCACAGTGCCCTCTTTAATTCTGGAAACAGACCTGAGAGCCAATTCAGAAAATTCATCCTTATCATTTTTATAATCATCCCTGGTATCAAATATCCATTTGGGTGCTGGAAACTGGCTCAAGCCAGAGAACTGGTTGTGGGACTATGACTCTCTCTACTCTAGCAATTCAAAGTACACTTGAATTTGTTTACTTGGCCTAGTAGATATATTTCATTGTTGTTGTTAGGTGCTGTCGAATCGACTATGATTCATAGTGATACTGCAAATAACAGACTGAAAGCTTGTCCTATCCTGTGCCATTATCATGATCTACTCCATGCTGGAGGTCAGTGCTGCAGTCACAGTGTCAATCCACCATCTACTTGGGGATCTTCCACTCTTTACTGGCCCTCTCCCCTTCCCAGAATGATGCCTTCTTCCAAAGACGGGCTCCTCCTTACAACATGCATATGAGTCAAATTTCAGCAACGTTGCCTCTAAGAAGCACCTGGCTTGCCCTTCCTCCAGGACTGATCTGTCTGTTCTTTTGCCAATCAATGGAATAGTCAATCTCTTCACCAACACCTGTGGTGGTTTAGTGGTAAGGTGTCACATTTGCCGTTCTAAGAGCTTGAAGTTCAAATCCATCAGCTGTTTCACTGAAGAAAGATGGGCAATCTCAATCTCCTGTGTGATTTACTGCTTCTGAAAACCCATGGCAGGGTCAGCTATGAGTTGGTTCCAACACGACAGTACCTAACAACTTTGCCAACACCACAATTCAAAGGCATCAATTCTTCTTTGACGATAGAAAGGATTAATAAACGTTGATTGTGTGTGTGTGTAGTAGGGAGCTCTGGTGAACTTGCACTGCCCACACAAGTTGGGCTGTAACCAAAAAGTCATAATTCAAATAGACCAGGTGTTCTACCTCAAGAGAGACATTAATCTCTTCTTGTCAATATATATAGCCTTGGGATAAGATAAACTCAATGCAAGGTCGCCAGGTCAGAATCTACTTGACAGCAGTGGATTCATGGGGATTTACTTTTCTCTATATAAATATATATTTATCTATATATTTGTCTTTCTCTCTTTCTTTCACTGATTTTGCTCCTCTGGAGAATCCAGCCTACGACAGGTTGTTGTTGGTCGTGGTGGTGTTTACCACTGACTTGGAATCAACTCATAGCTGGCCCTCCAGCAGGTTTTCAGAGGTAGGTAGTCACATGGGAGGAGACTGCCCATCCTTCTCCCACAGAGCAGCTGGTGGATTCAAACTACATACCTCCAGGATTTTATTGTGGCTTCTTGCCACTAAGCCACCAAAAGGTACAGTAACAAAATCCACAACAAATCAATTACGATTCAGAAATCAATAAAACTATTACAGGAAAAGAAGTATGTCGGTGGTCTTTAAATGACTTGTAGGATTTCAAAAAGTGGAGATCAGAGGAAGGCCATTACTGGCAGAAAAGCAGTATTGTCAAATTTCAATGCACCTGCAAAGAGGTCCAACTCTAAGAACTAATTCAAAGGGGACTTTAGGAAATAAGAC